TTGAAACTGGCGTTAGGGCATTTGCTGTGGAAATTGCGCAGTTTCGACGCTTGGGCATTTCAGTGCCCTGCTTCCCTGAAAAATTTGCAGAGTCCGAAAAGCAGAGGGAGAATAGCTCCAAATCAGAGTTACAGTCTCTATGCTTTCTCCACTCCTTGCAGGTGGGCAGCAATTCGACAGGTGCAGTATCCTCCATAATGCATTTAGGACATTTTACTTCCTGTCCCTTTTCTGAGGAGCTTGCTGTGCTGGACGCCTCCCCTCCCGCACCCCAATTTTATCCCCACACCAGCCCTGTGAAGAAGACTGGACGGGCTGGTAGAGATTGGTGAAAAGGTAACCACAGGGCTTCCTGGCTGAGCGGGACCTGGAAGCAAAGACTCGCTCTAGCTCCTGCACCAGGAATGGGGGCTGTTTTCGTGCTGGAGGCTGCATTTCCTCCAGGGCCGTCTGTTGATGGCCTCGTGCTTGTGGTGGGGTGAGGTCACCAGTGAACTGGGCACACCCAAGTGTGGGAGCAGCTTCCTCTCTCGCTCTTCCCTGTCGCTCCCTCTTTCCCTCCCTGCAACCTTTGTTTCTCTCTTCTTCTGCATCAACAAGGTGATGTGGCTGAAAAAAAGCACAAATGCAATCGCACAGCTGCATCGGCCAAGTATCACTCCTAAATCTTGTGAAGGGCTAGTTCCCCCTTACTCAGCATTGGCTGGGGTCCTGTGCCCATTTGTGGGCATCCCGGTTGAAGAAAGATGCAGACAAGCTGGGAAGGGTCCAGGGGAAGGTCCAGGGACTGGAAACAAAGCTCTGCAATGAGAGACTGAAAGAACTGGGAGTGTTTAGCTTTGAGAAGAGGAGACTCGAAGAGAAGAAAACAGGCGCTCTACTAGCACCTCAAAGGCTGTCGCAAGGAGGAACGAAAATACCTTTTCTCACGCATCCAGGAGTGTGGGATATGGGGAAAGGGCTTGAGTTACGGGAAGCCATGATTCAGCTGAGCATCAGAAGGAACTTTGTGGTGGAGCAGTACAAGAATGGAAGCCGTGACTGAGGGAGCTGGTGGGCTCCCCCTCCCTGGAGGCTTCAAGATGCAACTGAACAGCCGTCTGAGAGGGAGGGTGTGACTGGGCGTCTGCACTGAGCAAGGGGTTGGGCCTGACGGCCCCCGGCCCCTTCCAACTCTACTAATCTGGGATTCCCTCTCTGAACTCCACCCCCACCCCTCTCTTCCTTCTCATGTAGGAGGGAACCCAGAATCCAGAAATTCAGCTGAGGGCTGTCCCTCCACCACACCAAACTTGCCCCCACTGGAGCGTGCGATCTTGTGAACCTCCAGAAGCACTCCCGGGAAGCCTAAGAAGCAGATTGACTTCAGAACTCTCTGGTGCTCTTTGCTAGAGTTGCACACCATTAAGAGAAGTGTTTTACTCTTATGTAAGAAGAGTCTGCCTTCGAGGCCACAAGTAGAAAATGGAACTATATTTAGTGTTGCTCTGTAGTGTTCCGAATACAATGCGTGCTTTACCTTGTGCCAAGCCTGGAAAGTAGATCATTATTATGTTGCCTGTTGGAGTGGAGGAACGGGGTTGAGAGCTGGGTGGCTCATCATGACAGAAAACAGAGACGAGGTTTAAGGCTTGGATGCTTCTCATGTCTCAGCCGAACATTGTGCCAACATTGTGCGCTTTCCTTCCTACTTCAGATTAGCAGCTGGTCAGGATTAGGGTCACAGCAAGGATGCTGCTGTTTTCTACCTTTCAAGGTCTCGTTGAACATCCCCTCTCCAAAATTGTTCCTTGTTTACAGAGGACGCTGCAATAACCGATGCGATTTCAGAGGCAGGAAGCTGAGCAGTGGGAGATTTAGGACAGATGCAATTCTGGGCTTCTTCACCTCCTGCAGAGTTAAACTGTGGAAGCCCCTGCTGCAGCCGCCACATTTCCGGTCTCCCACAGTTCGTGAACCTCCCTCTGGACCAGTGATGAGGAGAAGCATCATTGTGGGCTTGCTCCCTGCCCAACAGGAAATGGTGGCCATGAGAAGGAAGAGGAAGAGCAGCTGGTGATGATGGCAGGAGTGGGCAGAGGATAAGAAATCTGTGAAAACCTGGAGCTGGCACTGTTCAGCCCCCCCCCCCTGCAAGTGGCCCCAGACCCCCCCCCCCCAAGTGTATTTGCATCTCCCTGTTTTTTCTTCCATGGAACTCAAGGCAGCTTCCGTCATTCCTCTTCTCTCAATCTTACTGCACAAAAACAGCCCTGCAAAGTAGGTTGGGCTGAGAATCAGTGACTTTCCTGAAGTCACCCATGACTCAGTGGGGACTAGAACCCAGATCCCCTGAGTCCCCGTCCCGCATTTCTAATCACCACATCACGCTGTCTCTCATCATAACCTTCAACCCCAGCTGTAAGCAAATCTAAGGGAGTACCAGGTTCTAGTCTCCACTTATTTTATTAATTTGTTTTAGTATTGATATACTGCTCCTTTCCCATAGGGCAGATCATGAGAAGGTAAAACTTGGCTGGGAAGCTCACAGGATGACTGAGGGCCAGTCATGGACTCAGCCCAACCTCCTCACAAGGATGTTGTTGTGTGGATGACATGGAGAAGAAGAGAACTTGGGTTCCTCGCAAATGGACAAAAGGGGTATAAATGCAATGCCCTCATCTTAATCATTTAATACATGTAAGCTGTTGTTGTCATATGAAGGGGGGAAATGTACCTCCTTAACACTCACTTTCTGCATGCCTTATTATGCGAAAAATGCGCTCATATGGCCAAAGCACAAAGCAGGCCTGGCCTACTCTATCTCTTTAAATGTTTGCGATCTCTCTCTGCTTTGTAGCTGGTGTCAGTGGATTTGCAGGCAGTCTGTTTATCTCTGAAATGGGGCTTTAACTCAGATGAGAAGAAAAGATCCTTTCCAATTCTCCGGGGGACTGCAAAATGCAAAAAACAGGATTGTGTTCTTTGTACTGACTTCTTTCATCACCTGTAAATACACAGGCCCTGTGCTTTGTTTTCATGCTGGAGAAGGCTTTCCATGGCCAGTTGGTACAAAGGCCATTCATTTCTAGGCAATCTGAGATGCAGCATGAATTTTCTCGGATTCATCACCTGCAAGCAGACGTCCTGCTGGGTGCCTGGCAGTGTAAGTGGACCAGATGAAGCGAAGGAACTGATGCTCAGTCCAGACAAGACTGCGTTGCTGTTTCTGGTGAGTGTGTGTGTGGGGGGCACCCATGCCTGGATGGTGGGTGCTCAACTTGGGGGCTGAAGAAGCAGGCTTATGGCTTGGGGGGTCTTCCTGGAGTCATCTTTCTCAGCGAGGTTCAGATGGCCTCCAAAACACCAGGTGCAGGAAACCTGGCAACATATCTGTGGATACGACAGAAGTGGGCAGACCTGCTCAACGGAAAAGCTACATAGGTTAAATGCCAGGTGTTTCAGAGCTGCAGATGGGTGCCTGTGGGGTGACAGCAAGAGGAAATGGCAAGTGGGCGCCCGTGAGCGCTGTTGTTGGGCAGTGATCAGCAAGTGGGTGCCCATGTAGCTCTTGGGCAGTGAGCTACAAAATAATCTCAAAGAGCTGCAAGGGGCTCATGAGCTTCAGCTGGGCCACCCTGATATGTAATAGAGCTACATAAGCTTCTGTATAGCCTGGAATGCCTGGTCCTGCCTTATCTTGGAAGCTAAGCAGGGTCAGCTCTGCTTGAAATCTGGATGGGTGACTCACTGTTGTGAACTCCCCAAACAGCTATGGGGGTACAGAAAGGTAATGAAGAATAATTTCTATGTGGATAGGCATAGCCTGGTTTCAGACATCTCCACCCTAGAAATTAATTAATTGTTTGTTTTATTAGCTTGATATTCTGCCTTCAAAAAAAGAGAACTCAAGGTGGCTTACTGCGTTCTCCTCCTGCTGCACTCAATCTTATCTGCAGAACGCCAACCCTGCGAGGCAGGCGGAGTCTCTGACTGGTGCAAAGTCACCCTGTGAGCTTCATGGCAGAGGGGGGACTCCTCTTGCCCCAGGTTCCCAGAGCAATACTCTGACAGCATTCCTGCACTGTACCATGCAGGCACACTGGAACAGCTTTTCCCAAGTTTCATGGATCTGACACTCTCAGGGGCCATTTCATTTTTACTTTTCAGAACCATATGCAAATTAGGCATAAAAATATGCTTTTAAAATATATTTTAAAAATGCTTTTTAAAAATATTTAAAATTTATTAAAATATATTTTAAAAATGCTTTTTAAAAATATTTGAAATTTATTAAAATATATTTTAAAAATGCTTTTTAAAAATATTTAAAATTTATTAAAATATGCTTTTTTGTAAGCTGTCCAGAGATACATAGTAATTGGATGGGTTAGAAACATTCCATATAATAGATAGATAGATAGATAGATTTTTAAAAGTGAAGGAAAATGCACATCTTCCACAGGCTAAAATGTGAAAATATGCATGAGGCAGACTGGCTCACCTAGGGGGCATTTGTGCACAGCAGGGGAATGGCACATTTTTAGACGTGCAGCTACACATTTTTCAAATGCTGCTCAGAGATGTGGAAGCACGCTTTGAAAGCTGTGCTCGTGTTTCTCTTTGGGGTGCGTGTGGAGCAGGTACTCACAATTTGCAAATGGAAACAAAATCCTTACATGTCCCTGGGTGCCCCAAGAGGGAGCTGTGTGGAGATCTTTCGTGCCTCCTGCTCATGGAGATCTTGGGGACCAACCCAAGGCTCTATGCATGCAGAGCACACACTGCGCCTTCTGTACGCCTCAAAAACAAGCAGGCTGTGACACTCCCGGGACAAGTTGCTCTCTTCCTCGGAATGAGAAGCATGCAGCTCCACAGTCAGCTGGAACCGGTTTAGCCAGACCTGAAGGGTGGTAGTATTCTCTTCCGAAACCTGTGCTGGGAGTTTCTTCTGTCCTTCCTAGAGCAACTTCATGCTTTTTTCTGTGGCCATCTGAGCTTCTTTTCCAAAGCCAGAGGGAATGGAGACACTACGGAGGAGCCTCTCCCGTTGGAAGAAGTACCACATCAAAGTCCACCTGGCTGAGGAAGATCTGCTGCTCCCACTTACTGTCCGGCCCACGGATAACATGATGGACTTGCGGGCCCTTCTGGTCCGGGAGGGCATCACCTCCTGGAAAAAGACGTTTTATTACAATGCCCGGCAGCTCGCGGAAGATGAGACGGTCAAGGAAGCCCAGATCCAGAATGGCTCCGTCCTTTTACTCCTCAGCGACAACAGGTAGGTCTTTTAGGACCACAGGGAGCCAAATGACGGAGCAGAACAACCTGCAGTCTAGCTCTGGCCCTAGTGAGTGACCAGGGGCCACAGGAGGGCCAAGCTGGAGTTCCTGGCCCTTTCCAAAATTCAGTTCAGAGCGCATTTTAGGACCGTTCAAACAGCAGGAAATGAAAATGTCAGGATTGTGCAGTCCATACAGAAATCCAGTACTTGGAATGTCATATTTGTTACAACACCCAAAGAAGCTACAAAAACAGGAAACCCAAATGATTAAGGGAACGGAGCAATTCCCCTACAAGGAAAGGTTGCAAAGTCTGGGGCTGTTTTGCTTCGAAATGAAAGTGTGTGAGGGGAGTTGTGATAAATGTGCACAAAAGGATGGATGGTGTGTAGAAAATAATACTGGGACCCAAAGGAATCATCCCAGAAAATGGAATAGTGGGAGATTCAGAACAGATTTTTATTGATTATTTATTAAATAATTGTTTTCTATTGTTTTGTTTCTACTGCCTGATAGCAGAAGCTCTCTGGGCAGTTTGCAAAACAATTGGAACGCAGAAAATACACCCAAAGTATGGTCTAAAAGTGTAAATAGTTACAACTGCAGTAAAAAATAAGAACAAGAACAAGTTTAAGACCTTAGAGCAGGACACAGATTTAAAATATGATACAGAATGTAAAAGGCCTGCAACTAAAATTTGTGGGCAATAAGGAAGTCTTTTCCTGGTGTCACGAAGAGTGGAACGTAGGTGCCAGGCGAGCTTCTCTGGGAAAATTATTCCATGATGGGGATAGTTACTTTCTTCACCTACCACAGAGTCAAACCATGACACATTGTGAAGATTGCCAATACAGATGGCTCAGGATAGGACAAATACATGGAGGAGAAACATTTCCTAATTATGTTCTAAGAACTTCCAGTGCTTTTTATGTATGCCATGCAGTGACAATTTGCATGGGTGTAAAAGCTGACTGAACAGAGCCATGGAGGAGAAGTCTATCCTAAGCTGCTAGTCCTCATGGCTCTAGGCTACCTCCAGTTTCAGAGGAAGCATACCTATGAATATCAGTTGCTGGGGAACATGGGTGGGAGGGTGCCGTTGCCTTCCTGCCTTGCTTGTATGTGGGTTTCCATGGGCTGCTCGTTGGTCACTGCGTGGACCAAATGCTGGACTGGGTGGATTTAGCACAGCTCTTGGGTTTGTCTTTATGAAACCTTCTTCCAGCAGCAGGTCAAGAGGGTCATGGGATGCTGCTTGACCCACAGAAAAGCTCCTGGGCCCATCGGCTCCCTGCCCTCCCCTTTCCGTCTGTCCCCCACAGAAGGCCAGAGTCCATGAGCCGAAGTTGCAGGACTGGAGGTTAAGGACTTATTTTAGGAAAACTGGATGTGTAGCTAGGAGAGTTTGACAGCTTGGGGCATTGTTAGCTCTGGATTTCCTGCCCCCAGCATGGGGCTGCTAGTGAGTCCTTCAAGACCCCCCCCCCCCTTCCCAGCGATGCTGACTTGGACACTGTCTTGTCAATGCCGCATCAGTTCCAGACTTTTCCCTGTCAGTGCCTTTATAGGGCTGCTGCTGAACCCACTCCTGGTAAATCCTGGTCCTACTCTTGCCCCAGCATTGGCCCTTTATGGGAAGCCTCGTTGAAACTTTGCCCTCTGGCCTCTGAGGACACGAGAGGCTGCCAGAAGAAAGGGGTCACCGAGTGCTTCTTGGTGGGTTGCACTCTGTTGTCATATTCCTGCGTGAAATGCAGAGGCAGGTCTAATGCTCAGCTGGTTAATGGGCAGCAAGACCCACTGTGAAGCTTGCCTGTCTGAGCCTGTGTTTGAAGCTGCTTGTAATATCGATCCAGATCCTTGCTCTGTATCCAGCCCAATCAACGCTGGATCAGGGTTGCTTTTCAGGGTCTCAGGCAGAGAAACCCCCCCCCCCACCATTTCCTGCAGCTTAAACTTTCTAATTGGAGATGCCCGGGATGTGTTCTGTCCTCATTAAATTGAAAGCAAGGTTCCAGTCCTCATGGTACCAAACAAAGGGCTACTTTCAGTAGGAGCAGAGGAAGCTGTTTTCTTAGGCCTCCAGTCCAGTCCATTTAGCTCAGTACCAGTGACAACTGGTTTCAGCTAGAGGTTTTCCCTGCCCTACCTGGGGATATCCGAGCATGAAACTCAGACCTTCCGAGCACAAAGTGTGTGTGCCGGAACACTGAGTTCTAGTCCTTCCCTCACGTCTGTTGGCCTCCATTTTTGAGGCCTCGTGGAGAACGGGTGAAATTCCAGAGGACTGGAGGGTGGCATCCGTGGTCAATTTTCAAAAAGGGTAGCAGAATGGACATGGGGAATTACAGACCCGTTAGCCTTACGTCCATTGTAGGAAAAACTATAGAAAAGCTCATAATCGCGAGAGACCTAGTGATGCTAGATAGGGAAAGGAGGCTGACAGCCACACAACACGGCTTCTGCAAAAACAGGTCCTGCCAGACAAACCTCGTGGAATTCTATGACAAGGTTTGGAGGTGGCTGGATGGAGGGGATGCAGTGGATGTGGTTTACCTGGATTTCAGCAAGGCCTTTGACAAAGTGCCCCATGATATCCTGGTGGAGAAACTGAGGAGTTTTGGGATACACCAAAACACTGTCTGGTGGATTAGGGCTTGGCTGACTGACCAAAAGCAGGAGGTAACCATTAGAAGGGGTGAACAGTCTGCTGATCAAATTTGCAGATGACACTAAAACTGGAGCAGTGGCCACAACTGAGGACAGACGATGGAAGTGGGCAGGAGACAACAGGATGGTGTTCAATGTGGATAAGGGCAAGGTCTTGCACTTGGGGCATGGGAATGGGTGTCATAAGTACAGGTTAGGGGACAAGTGGCTGGAGAGCAGCACTTGTGAAAGGGACCTCGGGGTGCTGGTTGACTGCAGGCTAAACATGAGTCAGCGGTGGTCAAGAGGGCGAACGCCACCCTTGGTTGCATAGCCAGAAGTGTGGCTTCTAGATCAAGAGAGGTATTACTACCACTCTACACGACTCTGGTGCACCCGCAACTGGAGTATTGTGCTCAGTTTTGGGCCCCTCGTTACAGGAAGGATATGGCCAGGTTGGAGTCAGTGCAGCGAAGGGTCACAAGGTTGGTGGCTGGTTTGCAGGGGATGCCGTATGAGGCGAGACTGAGGGAACTGGGTCTCTTCAGCCTGGAGAAGAGGAGACTCAGAGGGGATCTGTTGGCAACATACAGGTTTGTGAGGGGGTGTCACACGGAGGTGGGTGGAGACCTGTTCTCCCGTGCAGAGGAAGGCAGGACACGCTCCAACGGAGCCAAGCGCAGGGAACCCAGGTTCCATTTGGATGCCAGGAAGCAATTCCTGACAGTCAGGACCCCGAGGGTGTGGAATGGGCTTCCACAAGAGGTTGCTGAGGCCCCATCGGTGCGGGTGTTCAAGGACAGCCTGGACGTCCACATGGTGGGCATGTCGTGAGCGGAGCCGGCTGGTGCCGGAGGTCAGACTAGATGGCTCAGGAGGCCCCTTCTGACTCACTCTGTTTCTATGTTTCTATGTAATTACTGTGGATGATGGGGGACCGACAACAACCCCAGGAGCAAAGTAGCATCTCTTGGAGACACCCAAATTTTTGTGTTGGCTCTCCAACCCTCATCCATTGCTCATCAATGTCATGCAACATTTGGATAAACAGTAATTATGTTTCTTGGCCAAAGATTCTGCCTCTTGTGTTCTGTCTCTCCTGACTCAACAGTTGGGTATGTTTTGCAAATCAGCCAAGCTGGTTTTTCTAGCCTCTTGGGTTCTCCCTTCTTGTCCCTTGCAGGATCTCATCTCTGGTTGCTGATTTTTAAAAATATCATTTATTTCAATAAGGAGACCATCTTTGAGACTTGCTTTGTCTGGAGGGGATCCTCTTTGCCACCTGGATTGCAGAATTTAAGGCAGATCTATGCCTTCCACTCATAAGATTATACCAATTAGATTACAGACCTGAAGCTAATGATGGGGCCAATGCCACTGGGCTTTTCATTTAAAGCTCCCAGAGTAGCTCTGGGACATAAGAAATAAGGCAGTCCTAAGTTCCTAGGCTGAAAATCAACAAGACATGGCACAAAAGGAAGCAGGGAGGAGAAGGGAGGAGGAGAAACAAGCTTGGGCATTAGCTCTTATCAGCAAAGTTCGGGCTGAGGAGGAGCTGGATCCCAGCATGGTGGGGCGGGGCTGCTGCTTCCTCTCCATCTGGTGGCTTCTGTGATGACAATTTGGTTTCCAGAGGAAGCAGGGAGCCCGTCTAGCTCAGCCATTATCCTGGCAAGATGGAAGAGTGCCATGCTGCTGTTACCTCTCCCTCTGAAGGGAACTAAACTGATTGCTGCTACTTTGGTCTCCCTTGAGTTCACCTTGGTTTTCTTGCCTCTCCTGATCTGCCACCCAAGCGCAGCTTTTTCTGTCCTCCAAATCTCCTCTTCCATTCTCACCCCTCCCTTCCTGCCACACCCCGCATCGCTGACCCATGTCCTAATCCCAGGGCCACAGCACAGGGATTCAGGCCTGGGAAGCCCATAGATTCCTCGACTGCACATTCTGCCTTCCCCAGCCAGTGATCAGGGATGATGGGAAGTGTAGTCCTACAACATATGGAGGACCACAGGCTCCCCTTCCCTGAGCCCTGGGTGAAGAGAACACAAAAAGCACCATCCGGGACCTGTTGCCCATGGGAAACCCACAGTGTGCGCCAGCACCCTCCCACCCATGTTCCCCAGCAGCTGGGGCACATTGTCATGTCCTCTCTGATACTGGAGGAAAAAATCTCCAGGACTTGTATTCAGGGATACATCTTACTTGTTTGTCTACGCTGTCCTTGTGCTTCTCAAAGATCAGGTCAGAATGTCCAGCAGAGGCTTGGGTGAGGGATTTAACAGGGACTACTGACAATCCATGGTCTTGACTTGGCCCCACAAATTCTGTTCTGTCAGTGCCTTGCTGGTGCCCAT